ACGAAAACTGCCGAAACCTCGAACCTCGAACCCCCTGAGCCTCCCCCCTAACTCGGGGCGGCCAAGACGGGGGCGTCCAAGGGGGGGGGGCGCAAATCACGGCCGGCGACATGCGCGCGGCCCAAAGGGTGGGGGCCAGGGACGTGATGAAATAGGAAGAGGCGCCATGACATCTGAGGACATATCATGGCCCACGCCATGATATGCACCCCCCCCAGTCATCCCCCCCCCCCCCTGGCCGCCCGCGACTATCGCTGCCCCTGAAGGACCCCCCTTTCTTTCCGGCTCTCTGCTCGCCTCTGTCCGGGGCGTGGTCCCAAATCGTGAGCCCGCGGCACGCCGTGGGCCCAGGCAGCGCCGCCACCTCCAGGGCCTGCCCGGGGGCCAGATCTCGGTCGCCGTCGAGAGCGGAGAGTCCTTCCTCCTCCTCCTCCTCCTCCTCCTCCTCCTCCGCCTCCTCCTCCTCCTCCTCCTCCTCCGTCTTCTTCTTCTCCTCCTCATCCTCCTCCTCCTCCTGTTACTCCTCCTCCTCCGCCTCCTCCTCCTCCGCCTCCTCCTGTTCCTCCTCCTCCTCCTCCGCTCTCCTCCTCCTCCTCCTTCGTCTTCTCCTCCTCTGCTTCCTCCTCCTCCTCCTTCTCCTCCTCCTCCTTCTCTGGTTACTCCTCCTCCTGCTCCTCCTCCTCCTCCTCCTCCTCCTCCACTAGCCCTTTTGGGCGTTAGTGGTTCAGGAGGTTTCCTCTTCCAACCCCCTTTTTCCCCTTCGCGGGGGGTTAAGCATTGTCCCGTATCAATAAACACTTCCTCCTCCAAGCGACTGGCAGCCAACCCGGACCAATGACCCCCCCCCACCCACCATCCGTTTAAAAAAAACCATACGACATGCACTTTGCTTCCAACTCTGGCGCATGCGCGGGCGCCCCGCGACCACTCTGCATAGGTTTTTGAAAGGGACGGCGGGGATGCCGGCATATTGCTTGCTGCGGGCAGGCCGACCATCCCTGTCAAAAACAATACAAGCATACACTTTGGTTCCAAATCTAGAGCATGCGCAGGGCCCTCTGTTCTCTGAGCTCACATCGGGGCGACGATCAAAAACGGGTCTTACTCTAGATGGCACAGCGACCTTACGCGGTGGCTTGCGCGGGCCGCCAGCGCGGAACGCTGCATGGAGACATGGGCACTTACGCGCGACCTTACGCGGGCAGCTTACGCGCGAATGTCGGAGCAGACGACTCAATTTTTTTTGCGTCGCCCATCTGTGTCACGACTCCTCAAAATGTCACGGTTTGTTCATCGGTGCCGGTGCTTTGTGTTTTTTGGAGGAGTCGTTTTGTTCACAAAGCTCGGCATTCCGCTTCAGGGGGAATCGAGATCCTGAACTCCTTGGGGCCAGGGCCCCTGGTGCACCTGGAGCCCGTGGCGCACATGGCACGTGTGGCGTTCCTAAGGGATCTGCTGACACTCGGGTGTTACTGATGTGTTGGAAGGGCGGGTGGGAGTGAGCTAGACGGCCTGCTGTCTAGGAGGGTGTGTTTACACCCCCTCCCCCTGGCGACCGGCAGCCAACCAGGAACAATGAGGACACCATGAGGGCACCCCCCTCACCATCCCTGTCAACAAAATACAAACACACTTTACCTCCACATTTGGAGCATGCGCGGCCAACCCGATGTGCCCCCCCAAAACATCACCGTCAATAAACAATCCAAAGTGCACTTTGGGACAAAGCCTGGAATCATGTTCGTGAGGCCCGCGAGCACTTCGCGGGGGTGTTAGCATATTGCCTGCTGCGTGCAGGGCTACCATTCCTGACAACAAACAATGCAAAATGCACCTCGCGGCTAAATCTGGATCGTACGCGGCCGCCACGCGATCACTGTCAAGTGGTGGCGTATGACCTGCTGTGCGCAGGTCCACCAGACACAACGATGGGCATTGCTTTTCCACGTGGATGGTGGGGGCCCACATGTTTCCCGATGTGTGCTGTCACGTGCGCAGGAGCACATGACACACTCTGCACGTGCCCCGAACGTGACGTTCCTGGCGCGGATGGTGTACGTGGCACACTTGGCGCACGCGGAGCACGTGGCGCATCTGGCGCCACAGGCGTGCCTGGCACGCTCGGGCACCAAGGGTGCCTGGCGCGCGTGGCGCGGCTGTCACGCGTGGCGCACCTCGCCCCGGCGTCGCGCACCTGGGGTCGGCTTTGGTTACCAGTAGCTGCCCATCCAGAGACGACCGCTGAACATGCTCAGGCTCGGGTGTTACTTCTGTTGTGGGAGGGAGGGTGGGAATGAGCTGGACGGCTTGCTATCTAGGGGGTGTCTTGATCACTGCTCCCTATTAATTAACATCCCCTCCCCCAGGCGACCGGTAGCCAACCAGGAACCATGCACCCCCTCACCATCCCTTGTAAAAAAAACCATCCAAAATACACTCTGCCTCCAAATTCGGAGCATGCGCAGCCAACCCGATGCGGCCTCCCCCACCATCCCTGTCAAAAAACAATACAGAGTACACTTCGGCGGCGGCGGCGACTGCGGCGGCGGCGGCGGCTGCGGCGGCTGCGGCCGCGGCGGTGGCGGCGGCGGCGGCGGGCGTTCTGATCGCCCTCCTCTTCCTCCTCCTCCTCCTCCTCCTCGTCCTCCTCTTCCTCCCCCTCCTCTTCCTCATCCGCTTATTCCTCCTCCTTCCTCCTCCCTCCCCCCTCCCCCTCTTTCTCCTCCTCCTCGTCCTCCTCCTCCTGCTCCTCCGATTCCTCTTCCATCCTCCCCCTCTTGGGGTATGACGTCTTACCCAGCTCTTTATTCCACTGCATGCTCCTACAAATCTCTGATCAGGGCAACTCGTCTGGGCATCGTTTCTGGATGGGCTGGTGGGGTTACTCGACGCGTCCAGCATACCCACTCCCTGCCGACTCCCCGAGATGTGTCGGTTGGGCGGGCTGGGCGTTTCCCTTAAGACTTCCTTCCAAATTATGATCCTTAAACTTACAAGCTTGCAACCGTTTCACATATGGATGATAGGTGTTTTTCAACATATGGCTCTCGCCTTAACGCCGCGCACGCTGGTGTTAAAATTAACGTGAACTTCACGGATGGAGGGCAAGCCGTTTTTAACATGTGGCTCTCGCCTTCACGCCGCCCACATTTGTCTTGAAAGCCTGCTAAGAGTTTCACGGATGAAAGGCGGCTCTTTTTCAACATGGGGCTCTCGCCTTAGCGTCGCGAACATTCGTCTTAAGAGTTTTCAGCCGTTTCATTGATTCTGATGGTTGACGTCCCACAGTTTGTGCCTTTGTACGATGTAGGACTTTCAGCGCGCCACGCTCACGCTGATTCGCGGTGTTGAAGTCCCAGGGACGACACTCTGGTGCAATTCAAAGGTGTCAGGACACAAAAGTAGTATTGATTTGCGGCGTTGAAGTCCCGGGAATGGTTTTGGTACAATTCAAAATTTTCAGACGGTTGCCTTCCAACGGGGGACTTCCCTCAGTGAAAATAAATCCTAGTAAGGACCAGTGAAGAGGGAACTTGGAGGGAGGGTTTATTGCAACATCGTTGATGACTGGTCCTCCTCCTCCGTCCTCGAGAGCGGGCAATTCTCCTCCTCCCTCCCCCTCCCCCTCCCCCTCCCCCTCCCGCTCCCCCTCCCCCTCCCGCTCCCGCTCCCCCTGTCCCTCATCCTCGTCCTCCTCCTCCTCCTCCTCCTCCTCCTCCGCCTCCTCCTCCCCTTGAGGGACCAATGCGGCGGGATGCTGCACCTTCAGGCCGCTGTTCACCTCCCCCCCTGCGTTTTTCCACCATGCTCTGACCTCCTGGAAGCCTCTCGTCGCCATGGCTGGATCCGCTTGAAGACAAAAAAGGAGTCAGGGTGGCCCCCGGTGAGGGTCGGGAGCGGCCAAGAGGGGGGTGTCCAAGAAAGGGGTGTGCAAATCATGACCGGCGGCATGTGCGCGGCCCAGCGGGGGGGCCAGGGACACAATGAAATGAGAAGGGGCGCCATGAGATCTGGCGAAATATCATGGCTCCCGCCATGATATCCCCCCCCCCCACCTATAGTCATCACCCCCCTCTTTGCCGCCCCCGACAAGCCCGGAGGCCGTCTGGGCTTCCGGGAAGCTGGCAGGCGCACCTCGGGCTGGGGTTGAGTCGGGCGTGTCCCCTTAGAGGGGGCTTCTGGGCGAAAGATAAGAAGCACTCCAAAAATACCCCCCAGATGCTCAACAATAGTCAAAAATAATCCCCTATTAGTCAAAAATAAATCCCCACCTATAGTCATCACCCCCCTCTTTGCCGCCCCTGGTGAGGGGTCCGGACAATCATCCTGAGCGGATCTGTGCCGCGCGGGAGCCCCAGGCAGTGGTGCTCTTTGGCACCCCTCTGCGAGCTGAGAGGCCGGCACTCCTCCTCCGGCTGTCTGGGGGGCGTTAAAAGAGGCAACACCTGGGGGCTATGAAGAGGACGAAGCCATGGCAGGACCAGGGCAACATCGGGTGAGGATAAATCGAGATTCTCAGAGATCTCGCGGCTCTGGAGGATGCCTCGGGCACCGCGGCATTTTCAGAGCGCTCCGGAACGCTCTGGAACGAACTTATCCTCGTCCTAGCCCCGTCCAAATTCAGGCCCGATTGGGAGCCATGTTTGGCTGGATTAAAGCCAGGGCTAGGCCTGATCAAGAAGGATTACGTGGGAGTAAAGGGACCTGCGCCGAATTAGGCCAGCTTTCTTCCAACAGCGGATGCAGTCGAACCTATGCCAAAATAACATTCTTCAAGAACATGAGACCCTCCGCCAGCCAAAGCACCCCGAACCCTAAGATCATTCGAGGGTACCCTCCACCAGGATGCACAAGAGCATCCAACAACCACGAAGAGCATTAGGGCACCCTCCCCGAACCAACCTCGGTCTTACACCGCGGTCCGACTGTACACCAGCGCCGATGCTGAGTGGAAACCTCCCAGGAGATGCATCCTACAAAGGTTGGTTTTCGGCACCGACCTGCTCCAGCATCTCCCGCCTGGCCGCAGCGTCCCAGCCGCCGCCGCGCGGGGCACCGAGCCCGGCGCAGTCTGCCACCAGGGCGCGGGGCACCAGCAGCAGCCTTGCCGAGCTGACCGTGAGGCAGCCGAAGCCGTGCAGCTCGAGGGCCAGGTCGCTCTGGGGGGCCAGTGTAGGGCCCCAAGCGGGTGGTTGCACGATAACCTCGGCTTTAGCGAGCTCGATTAGCTTCAAGCACATGCGCATATTCCGTGCCACGTGGCCATCATTATCCTCATTCTCCCAGAGCTGTGCTGCACGTCCCAAGGTGTTTTCCCTTGGCGTCTTTGCGTCGTCCATCTCTGCCAGGTACACCAGCGTTGCGATACTCCCAGGCTTGTATCGTGTCCGAGACTCGGCGTATCCACCATAAGTTTTCGGTCTGCAAACAGTGATTGGATTTGGTGATTGCTCCCAGCCAGCGCCGTAGGACCAATCCTCCATACCACCGTCAACTGGGTACACTAAATCGCTGATCCTGCCGAGTGGGTAAAAAAAACTACTCTTCTCCCGACCAGCTGCACTCTGTATGGACTTTCCCACAGTCGTGAACGCATGGTCGTCGGGCGACTCAGTTGAGCCGTGCCTCTTCGCAAGGTGGTTGCGCGAACCCCACTCGTATGTCAATGCTCGCATGCCCCCGTGAAACGTAATCATGAAATGAAACAGATGCCTCCGGAAGAGCTCGTTCACCGCGCGAGCGGTCTGCGTCCGCATGCAATTTTCCGGATGCTGCAAATAACCAAAGTCGGCCAGCCCCCCAGCGGGGGGTCACTAGCATGTAGCGAGTCTGGACTCACCCTTTTGAGGTTGGACTTCCAACACAACAAGCCTTCCTAGATTGGACTGCAGCGTGGCCTAGAAGCTTACGGCGTCCGCCCGCTGGCGACACACGCGTCCCCGTCGGGACCCGCTTGCCTCATCTTACAGTTTGAGTTGGGGCCCTCTGGCGCCGTCCTGGGGGCCTCGTATGCCATCTTGGGGCGCTCTGGGGCCGTATCGGCACCCTCCCGGGGGCATCGCGGGCCGTCTGGGAGCGATCTGCAGGGCCCCAGGGGCTGTCGTGGAGCGCGGACGAGCGGAAAAGGAAGAAACCGCAAGCTCATCAATCAAACCGAGCGGACGATGAACTTTGGTGTGTTGGGGCTGTCGTGGAAGTGCCTTTGGATGCCTCTTGGGGCAGGCCTCTTGGGGTCTCTTGAGGGCCTCTTCGGGCCTCCTGGGGACACCTCGGGACGGAAGGCTCGAATTGTTGCTTCGGGCTCCTGCTCTTGGACCCCTCTTGGGGCCATCTTGGGATCTCTTGGGCCGTCTTGGGCGCCTCTAGGGCCGTCTTGGGACTCTCTTGGGCCTTCTTGGGGCCCTCTTGGGACGTGTTGGGGCGGTCTTGGGGCCTCTTGGGACGTCGTGGAGCGCCGCAAGCTCGAAAAGACGAGACCAACAAAACAATGAAACAACCTAAGAAGCCTACTTTGTTTTTGCCTTTGTGGGCCCTCTGGGGAGCGCTCGTCGAGTTCTACTGGGCCGTCGGGGGGCATCTTGGGATGGAAGGCTCGAGTTGTCGCTTCGGGCACCTGCTCTCGGGTCCGTGGGGCCTTCTTGGGGCCCTTTTGGGCCGTCTTGGGCGCCTCTAGGGCCCTCTTGGTGCTCTCTTGAGCCGCATTGAGGCAGTCTTGGCGGCCGTCTTGGGGCGGTCTTGAGGCTTGGCGGCCGTCTTGGGGCGGTCTTGGGGCGGACGTCGTGGAGCGCGGAAGCTCGAAAAGACGCGACCCCCAAAACAATGAAACAACCTAAGAAACATCATTTGTTTTTGCCTTTGGGGGGCCCTCAGGGGAACGCTCGTCGAGTCTTCTCGGGCCGTCTTGAAGCTACCTGGGGCCGTCCGGAAGCCACGCGGGACATCTGGAAGCAGTCTGGTGTCTCTTTGGCGCCACTTCAGGCCGTCTGGGCGGGTCTCGGGCCGTAGGAGAGGGTCCCCAGGGAGCCCGGAGCATTTATGGCGACACGAAGCACCTGGGCGAAGGACCCCGATCCTGTATCACGTGTGCATGAATAAAGATATGCATATATATATATATATATGTATATATATATATATATATATGTGTATATATATGCACAACTACATATATGTGTATATATACACACATATATATACAGAAGCACAGTACTGAATACTTTGATATGCTAGAACCACGCGCGCGCTTCGTGCGCTTAGGTTGTTCTAGCTGGGCGCAAGCAGAGGATTTGCGCTGAAACCATGGGGGTGGAAGTAGGGGCAGGAGAATCGAGAGTTCACTGAATATTCTCTGAGGCCCGAAATCATGAGGAATGACGACGCACACAAAAACAACCAGAGGAGTGAGGGAGCGAAAACCATAGGAACACCTGGGAAACAAAAATGGTGTGCCTCCCAGCAGCCTTTTGGGGGCTCTCTGGGCGCCCTCCGGAGGCGTCTTGGAGGCCTCGTGGTGCGAGGAGGGGAAATGACGCAGCGGGGGGACGGGAGGAGGAGAGGAAAGGGAATGATGTGGAAAGGGAAACGGAGGAGAACCAAGAACAGGAGTGAGAACAAGAAGAACGGACAACGAGGGGTGGGCAAAACGGAGATGCACTCTGGGGCACGCCAGAGCCTAGGACAGGAGGGGGCGGGGGGGGGCGTCCTTGGAAACAACATCAGAGAATTCTCCTTTTGTTCAAGCTGGGCCTCCTTCCGCTTTGTAGGGTAGGATGCTGGGTGAGGGAGGCGAAGGGAGGAAGGAGTGAAGGTGAGATGAGGATGAGGGCGTAGGGGAAGGACGCTGCGGGGAAGGTGCTGAGGATACTGACTACGCGGGCGCCACGTGGCGCCCCTGGCCGCTCCGCCACAAATTAATCCTCAGATTAATTCAGACACCTCAGGAGCTTTCTGACGGGACCTCTCCCACCGCATAAGCTCCTCAGGCGAGGGGAAGCCATGCAACTTGGCAACACTGGCGGCGTCAAGACAGGGAAGACATAGCAGTCTGCTGGCCTGCTTCGCCCCCCCTGCGACGCGGGGTCTCACACTCCCCGCCGACGCCTGGGGCTCGACCCACCCTTCATCACCTAAAGTATCGCTGCTGGGAGCAGCAGCAGCAGGAGCAGGGGCAGGCTCAAGGAGTGGCCCCCATACAGCACGCATCTGAAGGGTCGGCCCATGGGCCGCCCCTACTCGAGCATTCCCAAGGGTGTGCCCTGGGAACAGACCTCGGCGGAGCTTGGACCTCTGGGTCTTGAGCCCAGGATGAACCGCTCCCTTACACTCTCCCTGCAGCCCCCGAGCGTTAGAATGCGCCGAGGCACCGCAGATGTTACATACTAATATTGGCGACAGTTCCTGGCAGTGATCTGATGCGACGCTGGCCTGCACAACGCTGTGCCCTCGCAAAACCCAAGGTACACCTGTGGCAGCAACAAAGCCAGCGTCGACACCATGGGGTTCTTTCGTGCCAGCAGGGGAGGAGGAAGGACTCGGAGCAGAGGAGGGACCAGTCTCATTCCCCTCGGCCAGGGACCAGTCTCCAAACGGCGCCCTACCTTCCTCCAGACAGGCACGAACTAGATACTGGGGCAAATCTTCATCTAGCACGATGTCCCCTGCACCAGAAAGATCGACATAATCTGGCTGCTCTAACTCTCCGAAAAACTCCTGGCACCTGCTCTGCCAGAGCACTATGTCCGAGGCAATTCTCTCACACCCCGAGACAAAGTCAAGATGGTCTCTAGACACATTCCAAAGCTTAGCTCCAGCCTTGGCCCACTTGTCAGCCATGGCATTGCCCTTGATGAGCCGCGCATCATGATCAGACCTAGGGCCCCTTAAACTCCTGTGGGCAGCTACCTTGACAATCGAGGCTTTCCTACCTAAGTCAGACCACCAGGTCCCCCACATGTGCGCACGTGCATTAGAACTGGCCAAGGCAACACTGGAGTCGGTAGCACAACCGAAGGAAGCAGCACAATCGGTGTGCACAACTAAGGGATCTTCAACCGACCACTCAGCAAACAGAGAGAGCATATGGAAAGCCCAGTCCTCCCCGTCGCGGGCGGACTGCGAAGGCGCCTGGTGGAGCGGCACTGCGCCGTGCATGGCTCCGACGAGCTCCCCAACGCGATTGGCCTGAATCACGGCCCAACCTGCCCGACTCAGTCCCTGAAGATGACTGTGGGAAGCAGCGCCGTCAACAAACACGGAGCCCGAGAACCTCCAACCAGGAAAAACACAGACAAACCGCACTCGATTTTCTTCAGGGACTTCCGTCACGGGGCGGCGCAAGGAAGGCGAGGGGAAGAGACAGCGCGCCATCATCTCAGCTGCTTCCTCACCAAGGCTTCGCACATACATGGCTGCCTGCATTACATGGGTCGAGCATTCCTCGCGACGAGGAACGGCACTCCGAGGGCAGTCGTAGAATCTATGGTGAAGCGTGCCCCGCATGCCACAATGCAAACAACGATCATCCACCGCCTTTCCGTGCGCGTGCAGGCGCGCCTCGGGCCAGTGTGACCCTCCTACCAGACTTCTGATAGCAGCTGCTCGGTGCGCACTCCATCGCTCCGAGTAGTCCTGCCCGAGCAGCCTGCCGACAGGCCCCCAGTGCAACGGGTGAACCCAGGGCGCCTTCAAACGTTTCAAAGCGTTGACGTCGGACGCCTGAAGGGCCAGGGGCCGAATCAAATCCACGAAAAAGCCAGGCGGAAAATCCAGAATCTTGAAGTCTCCGAGTCGGGGACGCCTCAGACTTTCCACCGCTGGCAACTGGCGTCCAATCCTGGCGAGCGAAAGGACAGCCGCCTGAGCTGGATCTACTACCTGAGCCCAAGGCCTATCTTTGAAGAGGGGCGGCTGCGCTTCCTCGAGACACGCCCGAAGCGGACCAATGCCTGGCATACAGGAATGTACACTCAAAGCCCAATGCTTGACTACATCGCAGACATGCACAATCCAAGGATCCCTGGTGGACCCTCGCTGCGTCGACCTCAGACGAAGCGCCACAGAGGTTCCTGGAGGGACTCTCCCTTCTGCAAGCAACGAAGCAAGTCGCAAGGCGGCGGGCTTAGTGTCAGCGATGCCAGTGACCGCCGCCCCCCACATCGCCGTCGCCGTAGGAGACCCCCTCATTATAGCGCGGACACTAGCTCCTGCCTGCCTGAGCGGAAAAAAACACGCTTTGAAACCGATGACGCTTTGGCCAGACGTTTGTTCTGCTCTTGAACACTCCTCGATGCGCCATCAGTGGCATCCGTACCCAAACACCTACTGCTGCGAAGCTTCTGCTCATGGCCTAGGCTCATCTCTCGTTTAGCTCCGAATCCAGCTCCGCTGAACTGGTCATATAACCCGTCTTGTCCCAGTTGACAACAAGCTGCCTTTGCTGAAGGGACTCTACTAATTCGGACATGGCTTGTGGAAACTGCTCGAGAACATTTTGCCTGCCTCCAATCGCCTGAAGCAGGAAGTCATCTACTAGGTTTCGATACCTCACCATAGGAAACTTAGCCTTAAGCGTGACAATCACTGTATGCACTAGAAGCTTTGCCAACGCTAAGGCACAGCTGCAGCCAGCTGCCACAGTACCATTGGCTCGGACCTTGTCCGAGATGAAAGACTTCCACCTGGCTCGCCTGGCAATCTATACCCTGCACAGAGACACTTGAGGAGCCTAACTTGGCACCCCGTGGCCAGGGCCTCTCGCAGAAGATCTTCATGGGAAATGTGTTCATAATACTTCGACAGATCTAAAATACCGCTGACAACCGAAAATCCTTTGAGTCTGGCGAACCGCTGCACAAGGTTGTGAACATGCCCTGCTCTGTCGCAGGTCTGTCCAGAAACTCCCCAGAAGGAGTCATTGTTAAGAGACGATTCCCAATGCCCAGCAACAGGCTGCCTGAGCCTAGACCAAATACGCCCCCAGATGGAAGCCAGCACATTGGGCCTCACTCCCGTGGGCGGCGCGGGCTTGCCCAGGAAAAAATGAGGAGGGTCCAGAGCTCAAGATCCTCAGGATCCGACTCCCATTTCATAAGAATGTCGAGGAACGCCTGCTTGTACGAATCTGGCAACCAGAGAACCTGCCTCGGGTGGAGGTGGTCCCACCCCAGCCCGCAGGACCCCGAGTAGGAAGACAGCGCAGAATTCAGCTGCGAGATGGTGACCCTAGGCAGCTCAACCCAAGAGTCCAGACCCCCAGAGGTCAGGAACCCCTGGTCGGGAACAGCACCACGGGAAGCCCCCGAAGGCTTCACAGGCAGGGCCCCAGGACACCAGGACCTCGGGTGGATTCACCATCTCTCTTAGGAGCATCCCAAAGCGGCTCCCACTGCTCTAGAAGCGTGTCCACTGCCTTTTGCCCCGAGACAGGCAGGCAGCGGCGGCGCAAGCTCCGCGGCCTCCGAAAAAATCTGCGCGCCCCCCTGATTCTTGCCGGCCTCCCTGGCCTAAGCCCTCCAGGCTTTGGCGCCAGCCGCCCTGGCCTTCGCTCGGAGGTGAGAGAGGTGACCCCTCAACCCAAGAAGGAAGGAGAGAGCCTCGTCCCCTCCATCGGAGAGCAGCCTCACTAGGGCACTCCTGAGCGCGTGCTGCCACCTCTCGAGCGGCCCCTCGGTGGGCCACGACGGGATGCCAATTCGGGCGACCGTGCGCTCTTGCCGCTGCTGAGCGGCAAGAGGAGTATATTTCTTAGCTCGGGACTCAGAACCTATGGCATGCAGCCTCATGCACGCCGAGTAGAATGATGTCCACTTCCTGCCCTCGATCGTGGTGTTCTGACGCAATTCATCCTCCCGGGCTTGGCCCAGCTCCACATACTGAACTCGTAGCCCATCAGCTCTGCCAGCATATAATTGCCCACACCATCCTTGAATGTCATGGAACTCCAGAAGATAGGCTTCCACATGCCGAAACCAAACTTGACAGGCTTGCTGAAGGTCAGGAGGGTGCTCCAACCCAATATGCCACGGCCACTGATCCTCCCGAGCTTCGAGCGGTGCACAGCGTGCAGGAGGGGGCTTCTCGATGGGAAACTTATTAGGCGCCAGCATCCTAGGAACTTTGACCTGCGCTCCTATGCCACTGAGCTTCAAAGCCACTGGCGCGTGGGACTTTGCTGGAACCTCTGGTACTAGGTAGACGGATTCCACAAACGGGGCCAGAACTCTGCTGCAGATGAAGAAGTCCAGCTCCCTCGCTCCGCAGGTGGGTTCTCCTGAGGCGATGATTTCACCTTGCACTAGCTTGGCAACATGTTCCAATCCGCAGCCACTATCCAGGAACACTGAAGCTTGTCAACTGCTTGAAACAACTTACCCAAGAGCTCAATGTTCTCTCCTGCAAGGCCAACACTGGTGTGTAAGTATACTGATGCTACCACCAAGGGAATAGAAAGACCAACATTGATCATAGATGCCGCAATCCTGGAAGACGGCAGCTCCTTTCCACAACTCAAATCCAACTTGTCTGCTGGGAACTGACTGAGCACAGCGCGCCCCGCACTGGACTCCGTAGGGCCTGGCCCAGTACTGTTTGCTTTGGGCATAGAGGCTTGAAATCCACGCTGCTGAGCCCACTTGACGGCACTCTGGTGCCTGAACGCATCCTTGAGACGGTGCTCCTGAAGACAAAGAACATCAGGTAGGACTGGTACACCAACATGATCATGCTTCGCCCATTCTAGCATGGCCTGCGCAGCTGACCACGTGCTAGGATTGAGCGTCCAAATGACAAAACTGGATGTGCTGGGTGGGCTGCTACCCCACCCGCTGACGCTTGGCATGCCCTGCAATGTCTGCAAGGAACCTGCGCAGGGCCTCTGGATCATCAGCGGAGTCGAACCCTGCTCGCTTGAGCTTGGCCTTGAGCTCATTGTCGTCTGGGTCGAGGACGATGATGTCTGGATCTGACCCCCTTGCGCCACCAGGAGGAGCAGCATTCCCAGTAGCAGGCGAAGGTGGGGATGGCTCCTCCGCCTTCGGCAACTTCGCTGAAAACTCCGCCTTCTTCGCCTCCGTGGCTTCCAGGACCGCAGTGGCATCGATGGCGAAGCGTGAAGTGTACTTCTTGACAGCCAGCCCCCACACTTCAAGCATCTGGAGCTCATGGATTGAATCGGGCTCGCCATCCTGCTCAGGCGGCTCTGGCAGGACGGTGGCGGCCTGGGCCTTCTTGATGATCTTTTCGATCTCCGAGAGGGTGTCCTGGTGGGCCTTGAGCTGCTGGCACTCCTGCTCGTAGACGCGCTGCGCGTTCTCGAGCGCGGCCTTGGCATTCTGCACTCTCTCGGTGGAACCTTCAATATGCTTGAGCTTCCGCGACTGCCTCTGGAGCAGGACCTGAAGCCCTTTGGAGCCGAGGTCTGCTGGCCCAGGCTCCTCCGCTTTCTTGAATACTTCGGTGAGCTTGGTGTCAAGCCCCGAGCCCGCTTGAAGCCCTCGTGACTTGAGCAGCTTGATGAGGTCCTCATTTGACAGCTCCGCGGTGCTGGGATTGGCGCGCCCTCCAGCCCTTGAGCCGCCTTGGCTCTGGAAGGCAGGAGGACCGTTGAGCCAGGCATTGCCCCGCTGCGACTTGCCATTCTAAACCGAGGCTTTCTGCTGCCGCTGCTCTCGTTGCTGATTGATGACATGTTGCGGCGCCTTCGAACCGCACTCCCGACAGGCCGACCTGAAGAGAAAGTTGGCGAAGGCACACGTTGAGTCGCGACACTGCCAGGTCTTGCTCTGGCCCTGCCCCGACGCACCATGGGGTGACATGTAGAATCTCAGACTTTAGCCTCGAGTCGGCTGCGCCACTTCCAAGTGCGCCGACCCAAAGGTTACAACCTTGAAACCTGGAAATGGCTACGCTGCGGGGAAGGAGGAGAGGAGAGGAGGAGGAGGAGGAGGAGGAGGAGGAGGAGGAGGAGGAGGAGGAGGAGGAGGAGGAGGAGGAGGAGGAGGAGGAGGAGGAGGAGGAGGAGGAGGAGGAGGAGGAGGAGGAGGAGGAGGAGGAGGAGGAGGAGGAGGAGGAGGAGGGGGGCCTCTGGGGAGCTCTTGAGGGCCTCGCGGGGCCCTCTCCGGCGCCGGGCACCTCTGGGGCGGCTCCCGGGAGGTCGTTGGGGCCTGGTCGGCGCGTCCGTGGGGCCTAGTTGGGGCCCCTTCGGGCGCCGTGGGGACCCACGCAGATCGGCGGGGTCAGGGTCCAAACACACATGGGATTTGCCACAGTTCAAAAATTTGCTGGCACCCCTCACGCAGATCGGCGGGGTCAGGGTCCAAAACCACAGGGGATTTGCCACATTTCTGACATTCGGTGCCACCCCTCACGGAGATCGGCGGGGTCAGGGTGCAAAAACACATAGGATTTGCTACATTTCTGAAATTCGTTGGCACCCCTCACGTCTTGTGGCCTCTCGGGGCCCCTTCGCGCCGCTCGGGACGCCTTGTCGGGGCATCTTGGAGCTCTCTCGGGGCACATGCGCAAGCCTTGGAACCGCAGCGGAGGCGGAGATGCGAGAACACAGGCATCGCAGATGCTCCGTGGGTGCTTCGATGAGTTTGGCCTCTCGAGAGCTTCCCCGGAGCTCTTGGGGGACTCTTGGAGGCCTAGTGGGGCGATCTTGGGTGCTCTTAGGGGCTTCCAGAGGCGTCGGGGGGGCCGTCTTGGACAGCCTTGAGATTCTGGGAGTCTATTTGGATGCCTTTGGGGGACGTTCTTCGAGAGCTCTTGGGGGCTTCCCCAGGGCTCTTGGCGTCTGGGCTCGAAACGACAGTTTGGATCCCCGCTCTCACACCTGTCTTGGGGCCGTCTCGAGGGCCTCTTGGGCCGTCTCGGCGGCCTCTTTGGCCGTATTGGCGCCCTCTTGGGTCGCATTCGGACCGCCGCGGGGACCTCTTGGGCTGTCTTGGTGCCGTGTGGGGGACCTCCTGGGCCGTCCTGGGGCGTTGGGAAGCCGAAACAAACAGCATAACGGAGGCGGAGAGAGGAAGACGTGAAGGACAGACGAGGAGGGAGGAGCGAAAATAAAGCAGCGAGGAGGAGGGAGGAGGAGAGGCAGGAGAAAGACGTGAAACGGGAGACGGAGGAGAACCAAGAGAGAGAGAGAGAGAGAGAGAGCGAGAGATCAGGGAGAACGGGCAGCGAAGGATGGGGAAAACAGAAACGCACGCGGAGGCACGCCACAGTCTGGGACAGGAGGAAACGGAGGGGGGGGGTCGACCTTGACAAAAAAATAGATTCGAGGGATTTTCTGGGGCAGGATACTGGGAGAGGGCGGCGGAGAGAGAAAGAAGTGAAAGAGAGATGAGGATGAGGGAGGGGGGGACGGAAACGCATGAGGGAGGCGGAGAGAGGAAAGCGTGAAGGAGAGGCGAGGAGGGAGGGAAAATAACGCAGCGGGGGGAGGGAGGATGAACAAACATAAATGTTTGGAACAGCAGACGGAAGAGAACAAAAAGCAGGAGAAAAAACAAGACGAATGGACAACGAGGGATGGTGGAAACGGAAACGCACTCTGGGGCACGCCAAATCTTGGGACAGGAGGGAACGCACGGGGGCGAACTTGACAAAAGGGACTCGAGGGAATTCTTATTCCCAAACATCCTGTGGTGTTGGATCCACGTTTTGAAGAGACAGCGCCCCGCGTCCTCACTCCTCTCCTCCTCCCCCTCCTCCCTCCTCCCTGCGTTTCATCATCATCATCATCACCTGTTTTCAGCACACCCCTCACACGTTTCGTGGCCCCATAGGGAACTTCACCGAAGGCCCCAATCGGACCGCCCGCATGCGTCACGCACCACCCAGTACAGCGTTTCGTGGCCCCACAGGGAGGGAACTCCACTGAAGGTCCCAGTGGGGCCGCCCGCATGCGTCACACACCACCCAGTACAGCGTTTCGTGGCTCCATGAGGAACACTACCGAAGACCCCAATTGGACCGCCCGCATGCGTCCCGCACACCCAGTACAGCGCTTCGTGGCCACATGAGGAGCTCCACCGACGGTCCCAATGCCACCGCCCGCACGCGTCACGCACGACCCGGTACAGTATTTCGTGGTCCCATAGGGAGCTCCACCGACGGCCCCAGTGCCACCGCCCGCACGCGTCACGCACGACCCGGTACAGCATTTCGTGGCCCCATAGGGAGCTCCACCGACGGCCCCAGTGCCACCGCCCGAATGCGTCACGCACGACCCGGTGCAGCGCTTCGTGGCCCCATAGGGAGCCTCACCGACGGCCCCAGTGCCACCGCCCGGGGCCCCAGGCCCCACAGAGAGCTCCACCTGAGGCCCCAGTGGCGAAGTCCAGAGGCGTTTCCCCCACCGAGCACAGCGTTTCGTGGCCCATAGGGAGCTCCACCGAGGGCCCCAATGGCAGAGTCCGCATGCGTCTCCCCCACCCAGTGCAGCGCTTCGTGGCCCCATAGGGAGCTCCACCGAATACGATACCCATAGTTGCGGTACTCACAACTACATATGGTTGGGTCCTTCGCCAAGCTAATTTTTCAAGTTGGCTCTGGAGGCCACCAATGGCACCCACGATCGTCCCCAGAGGCCTCCAAGGGTCCTCCAAGAGCTTCGGGGAAACCCTCAAGAGGCCAACATCATTGTAACGTGTGTTCTGGCGTTTCCGCCTCCGATGCGCTTCCGAGGCGCGCGCACGCCCCCAGGAAGCGCTCGGGACGCCTCTTGAGGGCATCTTGGAGTTCTCCCGGGGGGCCTCTGGGGAGCTCTTGAGGGCCTCTCGGAGCCCTCTTCGGCGCTGGCTGCCTCCAGAGCAGCTCCGGGAGCTCGTTGGGGCCTGCTTGGAACGACTTTGGGGCCTTGGTAGGGCCCCTTCGTGCGTCATGGGAACTCTTGTGGCCTCCTGGGGTCACTTCGCGCCGCTCGGGACGCCTCTAGGGTGCCTCTTGGAGCTCTCCTGGGGCACATGCGCAAGCCCCGGAAGCGCGTCGGAGGCGGACGTGCGAGAAAACAGAAACTCATTGATTTTCCGTTTTTCGTTCAAATGATTTTGGCCTCTCGAGGGCTTCCCTGGAGCTCTTGGGGGACTCTTGGAAGCCTCTAGGGAGATCTTGAGTGCTCTTGTTTGCTTCCAGAGCCGTCGGGGCCCGTGTTGGACAACCTTGGAGCACTCTCGGGCTGGTCCTGAACCGTATTCTGGCCCTCTGGGAGCTCTGGAGCCTCGGGAGGGAGTTTTTTTTGTGTGTATGTGCATATACACATACCCACACATATACATATAAACATCTATATATATATATATATATATAGATATATACACACAAGACTGCACTGGCGCTTCGCGCCATGCACTTTGTTCCTTGTAGTTTCGACTGCAGGCGGCGTGCGTGCGCGTGGACATGGGGCGGGCCACCGCCAAGTCGGAATGGGTGAGTTCCTAGACGAGAGCGCCCGGGCAACACCAGCTGAGGACAGCTCACGGCGTTTCGGGGCCCAGAGGTGCGAATCTGTGTCAGGCGAGTGGTTGGGCTAGCGTGAAGCAGGGCCTCCTCTCCTCCTCCTTCTCTTTCTCCTCCTCCCCCCCTCCTCCTCCTCCTCCTCCTCCTCCTCCTCCTCCTCCTCCTGCTCCTCCTCCTCCTCTCCTCCTCCTCCTCCTCTCCTCTTTCTTCCCCCTCCTCCTCTCCTCCTCCTCCTCCTCCTCCTCTCTCCTCCTCCTCCTCCTCCTCCTCCTCCTCCTCCCCCTTCTCCTCCCCAGACGAGCCCCGAAGAGGCCCAAGGCTGGCCCAACAGAGCCCGGAGAGTTGGAAATCAAAGAACACCCTGAAGAAAAACAATGTTTTCGGCCTTCTCGTTTTTTCGCTTCCGGTTGGCTCGAGAGGCGTCAAGATGGCTCGGGGGGCGTCATGATGGCCCCAGGATGGCTCCAGGGAGGCGCAAGCCGTTGCCCACAGAAGCCCAAGGCTGGCCGAAGAAGGCCCACAGAATTGAAAGTCAATGCAAACCCACTGGAAAATCAGTGTTTTTGGCCTTCTCGCCTTTTCGCTTACGATCTGCTCGGGAAGCGTCAAGACAGCCCCAGTACGACTCCAAATGAGTCCCCAAGACGAGCCCCGAAGAGGCCCAAGGCTGGCCGAAGAAGGCCCAAATAATGAAAAATCCATGAACACCCATGAGGCAATCAATATTTTTGGCCGTCTTGCATTTCGCTTACGATCGGCTCTTGAGGCGTCGAGATAGCCCCAGGACGGCTCCAAATGGGTCCCCAGACGAGCCCCGAAGAGGCCCAGCTGGCCCAGCAAAGCCCGGAGAGTCGGAAAATCACAGAAAACCCAATAGAAAAGCAACGCTTCCGGTCGGCTCGGGTGGCGTCAAGATAGCCCCAGGACGGCTCCAAATGAGTCCCCATCAATGAAAACCCATGGGGAAATCAATGTTTTTGGCCTTCTCGCATTTCGCTTACGATCGGCTCTTGAGGCGCCAAGATAGCCCCAGGACGGCTCCAAATGAGTCCCCAGACGAGCCCCGAAGAGGCCCAAGGCTGGCCCAACAGAGCCCAGAGAGTTGGAAATCAGAGAAAACTTAGCAGAAAAGCAATGATTTCGGCCTTCTCGCTTTTTCGCTTCCGGATGGCTCGAGAGACGTCAAGATGACTCCAGGATGGCCGCAAAGAGGCGCAAGCCGAGGCCCAGAGAGGCCCAATGCTGGCAACTTTGTGAAAATCCATAGGTAAATTAGTGTTTTTGGTTTTCTCGCCTTGTCGCTTCCAATTGGCTCTTCAGGCATCAAGATAAGCCCAAGACGGCTCCAAATGGGCTCCAAATGAGTCCTCAGACGAGCCCCGAAGAGGCCCAAGGCTGGCCCAACAGGGCCCAGGGAGTCAGAAAACCAGAGAAAAACCGAATAGAAAAGCAATGTTTTCGGCCTTCTCGCTTTTTCGCTTCAGGTTGGCTCGGGGGGCGTCAAGATCAAGATGACACCAGGATGGCCGCAGTCAGGCGCAAGACAGACCCCGAGTATGCGAAATTCGTTTGGCGGGGGTGTCAGGGGGGGTGCGCTCTTTCTGGGGTCCCCGGCCCTATAAAAATATGATTAGCAATCTGAATACATGCTTATCCATGTAGACAATGCACATCACTTGTATACGTAAGCTTATATGTATATAGATATTTGAGCGCTACCTTGAACACATGTTCAGTCTGATAATCCCAGCTGTGCTTCATCGAAACGGCGCACTCCCTCCCTCCGTTATCCCCCCGTGCATCAGGCCACAGAAACAGCGGAGGCGGGAGGCCACGTATCTCTATTGGGGTCCATGTGGACCTCCTCCCTCTGCCTGTGGGCGTACCCGTGGGCATTGGTCATCGGCATGATCCAGGTGCCGCGTGAGTCTACGAGCCTGCGGACCTCCGAGTTGCCCTCCCGGTACTGCTGGCACAAGAAGCCTGCAAGCTCGGTCACGGTGAGCGGCCCGATGCGCTCGTCGCCGTGAAGAGCGCCACTGAAGAAGACCTCCGGAGAAGTCTCTGTCAAGGTCTTATTGTTGCCGATGCGCACCACGAGAGTCTTGCAAGGCTCTCCCTCGCACTGCGCCCAGCCGTCCCGCGGGGCAGAGGGCAAGATCTCTGGCCAAGCCTCTTGGGCAACGAAGGTCTCCACAATGTCGGGGTTGTCCCGCTTCAACTCCTCGAAGAAACGCATCGTCTCCATATCCGCCTCTGTGCCGTAAACACTGATTGGACATGCTCTCAGGCCCCTTCGAATTCCTGGTGTTGAAGATTGCAAATGCTTCCTGAGGCCCAAAGCCCCGTGCTCCGGGCTCCCTTGGGTGCGTCGCACGATATCCACTACCCGGAAGCAAAACATTACTCTGGATGGGACAATAATCGCTCCCCCCTTGGAACCACGGGGGGGGACTGGACACGAGATGTCGGAACGGGTGAAGGGGGGCTGGAGGAGGAGGAGGAGGAGGGGGAGGAGGAGGAGCGGGAGGATTAGGAAGGAGATGTGTGGGGGGGGGGGGGCAAGCTGCGTCGGAAGGTCAACCCCATGCCTCGAGACTGCCAAAAGGCCCCAGCGAAGCGCCCCAGAGGCCCTCAAAGGCACCCGAGAGGCCTCAAGATGCAGTCACGAGGCCTGAGGCCCACGAGAGACATCCCAAGAGACCCCAGAAACATCCAAGAGGCCTCAGACCTACAAAACAAGCACGGTGGCGGCATGGGCCGAAGGTCACTTGATCGGCCGTTCCCCCGTGGTCTTGACACAAAGGGAGCCCGGCGTGCTAGACCCCACCGTTATGGTTTTGGTTCTTTTCCAAGAGAACTTCCCCTGGGGCTTCGGCGCATGCCGTCGGCCACCCGAAGGCCGCACAATCCGCCGACAAAACTTGCCCAACCGCCCCCAAGACAGCCAAGCTGGCCTCCAAGACGGCCAAGATGGCTTCCAAGTTCGCCGGAGATGGTCCACGATGGCTTCCAAGATGGCCCAAGAGGAGTCCAAGACGCCTCCAAGATCGCCCAAGAAGCCTCCCAAGACTGCTAAAGACGGCCCCAGAGCCCCCCAAGAGGCCTGCAAGACGGCCCACGAGGCCTCTAAAAGGTCCTCCAGGAAGGCTGGACGAGGCCCAAATCATTGATCTTCCTTCGGTTTGGGAAGGATTTGTTGCCCCTTTGCTTCTCCCTTCCGACGGCCCAGGCCCAAGACGGCCCACGAGCCCCCCAAGATCGCCTCAAGATGGCCCCGCAGGCCTCCAAGATGACACCATGGTGCGCCAAGAAGCCTACAAGACGGCCCCAGGAGGGCCTCAAGACGGCCCGAGAGGCTTCCAAGGCGCCCAAGATGGCTCCACGACTGCCCAAGAGGCCCCCAAGACGGCCCTAAAAAGCTCCAAAAGGCCCTCAAGTGGCTCAAGGAGGCTTCCGAGAGGCCTCCTAGAGACCCCCAAGAAGCTCCCAGAAGGCCTGAAGTGTCCTCCTCCTGCTCCTCCTCCTCAGGTCCTCTTCTTCCTCCTACTCCTCCTCCTCCTCCTCCTCTTCATCTTCCTCTTCCTCCTCCTCCTCTCCATTTTTCCTCCCTCTCCTCATCTTCTTCTTTCTCCCCCGCGTGTTCCCCGAAATGCTTCCACAACGGCTGGGGGAACACAGGTTCCGATAACTTGGCAGAGCTCTGGCCACAAAGTTCGGCCACATGCGCGATTCCCAGGGGGCGGCGGTGATTCGCCGTAGGCGTCTTCGATCCGCCGCCCCTGTTGATTTATCACAGGGGTGCCCGGCGTGCTGAATGTTTGATTTTTTTTTGTGTGATTTCCCAACCATCCTGTGGTGTTTGGTCTTCGCTCTGAAGAGAGCGACCCCGCGTCTCCACCTCCTCTCTCCTCCTCCTCTCCTGCTCCTCCTCCTCCTCCTCCTGCTCCTGCTCCTCCTCATCCTCCTCCTCCTCCTCCTCCTTATCATCCTCCTCCTCCTCCTCCTCCTCCCCCGCCTCCCTCCTCCAGTCACCCCTCTCACTTTGGCACAGCCCTCACACGTTTCGTGGTCCATTAGGGAGCTCCACCGAAGGCCCCAGTGGCATGATTCGCATGCCGCTCCCCCTCCACTTTGGCACACCCCTCACACGTTTCGTGGCCCCACAGGGAGCTCCACCGAAGGCCCCAGTGGCATGATTCGCATGTCGCTCCCCCTCCACTTTGGCACACCCTTCACACCTTTCGTGGCCCCATAAGGAGCTCCACCGAAGGCTCCAGTGGCATGATTCGCATGCCGCCCCCCTCCACTGTGGAAAACCCCTCACGCGTTTCGTGGCCCTATAGGGAGCTCCACCGAAGGCCCCAGTGGCATGATTCGTATGCCGCCACCCCTCCACTGTGGAACACCCCTCACGCGCTTCGTGGCCTCATAAGAAGCTCCACCGAAGGCTCTACTTGCGGTGTTCGCATGAGCTTCCCCCACCCAGCACACCCATAGGGAGCTCCACCGAAGGACCCTGCGGCATGATTCGCATGCCGCCCCCCTTCCACTTTGGCACACCCTTCGCGCGCTTCGTGGCGCCACAGGGAGCTCCACCGAAGGCCCCAGTGGCATGATTCACATGCCGCCGCCCCTCCTCGTTGGCACACCTTCACACGTCTCGTGGCCCTGTAGGGAGCTCTACCGAAGCCCCTCCGTGGCATGATTCGCATGCCGCTCCCCCCTCCACATTGGCGCACCCCTCACGCCCCATAGGGAGCTCCACCGAAGGACCCTGTGGCATGATTCGCATGCCGGCCCCCTTGCACTTTGGCACACCCCTCACACGTTTCGTGACCCTATAGGGAGCTCCACCGGATGCTCCAGTAAGGGTAATCACATGCGTCTCACCCACCCAGTACAGCACTTCGTGGCCCCATAGGAGCTCCACTGAAGGCCGCACTGGCGGTGTTCGCATGCGTCTCCCCCACCCAGCATAGCGCTTCGCAGCCTCATACGGAGCTCCACAGGAGGCCCCAATGGCGGCGCTCGCACGCGTCTCCCCCGCCCAGTACAGCGCCCCGTGGCCGCAGAAGGAGCTCCAATGAGTGCCGCACTGGCGGTGTTCGCATGCGTCTCCCCCACTCAATAAAGCATTTTGTGGCCGCGTAGGGAGCTCCACCGGAGGCCCCAGTGGCGGTGTTCGCATGCGTTTCCTCCACTCAGCACAGCGATTCGTTGCCCCATAGGGAGATCCAACGAAGGCCCCAGCGGTGGTGTTCGCACGCGTCTCCTTCGCCCAGCACAGCGCTACGCGGCCCCATAGGGAGCTCCACCGAAGGCCGCACTGGCAGTGTTCGCATGCGCCTCCCCCGCTCATTACACCGCTTCGTGGCCCCATAGGGAGCTTCACCGAAGGCCTCAATGGCGCGCGTTCCACGGAAAGCCCCAGCGGTAGCGCCCACATGGCGGCCCCGCCCCAGATCGGCACATGCTTCGCATGCTTCATGGCCCCATGAGGAGATCCCCGAAGGCGATACCCGCAACGACGATACTCACAACTGCATATGGTTGGGTCCTTCGCCAAGTTAGAACTCCCCCTGGGGCTTCGGCTCCTTGCGCCGGCCACCACCCAGAACCACACACACACACACAATTTGCCCGGATGGTTGCCTTTCTCGCTGCTGCATGGCCCAAGATGGACCCCCAGATGCCTCTAAGACGGCCAAGATGGTCCCAAGAGAGCCCAAGATGGCCGCAAGATGCACCCAAGACGGCCCAATATGTACCCAATACGGCCAAAGATGGCCTCAAGATGGTCCAAGACGGCCCAAGAGGCCCCCAGGAGGCCTCCAGGACGGCCCAAGAGGCCTCCAAAAGGGCCCCCAGAAGGACCGAAGAAGCAACAATTATTGATGTCCATAGATTGTGAAGGATTTGGCATTTGCTTCTTTTTTAGCTTTCAAGCGGCCCAAGAGGTCCCCAAGATCTCCCTAGGATCGCCCAAAAGGCCTCCAGGATAGCTCCATAATGGCCCCACAAGCCTCCAAATGGCTCCTGAGGCCTCCAAGACGGCCTCCGAAACGGTCCTGAAAAACTTCAAGATTGCCCCAAGTCGGTTCGGAGAGGCCCCCAAGACGCCTTCCGACGGCGTCTTGCGGGCCAGGAACGCCCCAAGACGGCCAACGAGGCCCACGCCAACAAGCTCTAAAAGGTCCCCAAGAGACCCAAGGAGGCCCCCAAAAAGCCTCCAAGAGGCAGCTCCCAGGAGGCCCCAAGAGTGCCCCAAGTGGCTCCCAAAAGGCCTCCTCCTCCACCTCCTCCACCTCCGTTGCCTCCCTCTCCTCATTCTCCTCTTCCTTTCCCCATGTGCTCGCCGAAGGGTTTCCACAACGGCGGGGGGAACGCATAGTCCAACAGCATGCACAAAAATTGCCCAAGCGTTTGGCCACATAGGAGTATACTTAAAGGCAGGGGGCGGCGGTGATTCGCCGTAGGCGTCTTCGATCCGCCGACCCCTGTTGACTTATCACAGGGGTGCGTGGCGTGCTGAGGTTCTGGTGGTTGTTGGCTCTTTTTTGAACTCCTGCTCGGGCTTCGGCACAACGCGCCGGCAACGCGGAAAGACCGTACACAACCTCAACGTCCACAACAGATCCTCCCAAGACGGCTCAAGATGGCCGCCGAGAGGGCAAATATGGTCTCCCAGACGACCAAGATAGCCCCAAAAGAGCCCATGATAGCCCCAAGATGGCTTCCAAGATGGTCCCAAGATGCCTCCAAGACAGGACCGCACAGGTGGTCCCAGAGAGCCCCAGATATCCAAGAAGCGCCGAAGAGGCCACCAAGACGGCTCAAGAGGCCTCCGATAGGTCCTCCAGGAAGGCCCGAAAAGCCCAAAGCATTGAATGTCCCATGGGCTCTGCATTTGCTTCGAAATGGACTTCCGACGGCCCAAGACGGCCCAAGAAGCCTCCGAGATCGCCCAAGAGGCCTCCAAGATGGCTCCACGACTGCCCAAGAGGCCCCCTAGACGGCCCCAAGAGGGCCTCAATATGCCCCAAGAAGCGTCCAAGACGCCCAATCTGGCCTCCAAGACGGCTCTTCAGCGCTCCGAGAGAGCCCCAGATGGCAACATACCTCCAAGGGAGCCAAGATGCAGCCAAGACGGCCCCGAGAGGCCCCCTAGACGGCCCAAGAGGCCTCCAAGAGGTCCTTTCAGGAAGGCCTGAAGAGGCCCAAATCACTGATGCTCTATCGGTTTTTGCATGT